TGTTGAGGATGAATTCATCATTCCGTCAACTAGATGTAGCCAACATTTATTCTTTTGCGCTTAGTTCGTTAATCCTACTCGGGGCTGGTGTTCCATTTCATCGAATGGATTATCCTTTGGACCATTCATAACATTCATCTGCTCATCGGCATTGTTATTGTTAATGCACGATTAAGCACATTTTGCCTTTATTGGTGTAAGGTATGGACATGCCCTGGTGTTTTCTACGCGTGCTACTGTCTCAAAGTTTTGAATGGCTGGCCGACTGGTCCTTCATAATGCGCCCGATGTTGTCATGTTTCACACCGGCCCCGAGTAGACAGACTCACACGGCCTGGCCCGGCCCTAGCGAGCAAAGAGACGCTAGTGGATGCCCACTTGATCCAATACCCCTGGTCACTGCAGCACCATAAAGGGTTGACTTTTTACCAGGCGGGTAACGATATAACAGGCACTTGATTCCGTAACCTCGTTAAAGTGTAGGGGACAAGGCAATTGAAATAAACTGGGCCGAGGTAGCCACCTGGGGGCGGTCATTAACGGCTTTATCCGGGCATGGGAAGAACAACAATACCACCAACCGACCATTGAGCCCATTGAGGGGGGCTGTGATCATCGACTTCGTTACTAATCCGCCCGTTACTGAGGTCATGGATTGAATAAGCATTTTATGCATGCGGGCGGATCTGGGTTGTTCAGGCTTTGTATAATGTCTGTATCATTAACATCATACGGAACCCTCGAGGGGCCAAGCTGGAGTTCTTGGCTCGATCTGAAAGCAATCCTGCTATATCAGGTGCTATAAAAAAATGTTAGACACTCTTCGGGTACAGACTAGAGATTGCCATTAAATACTCCAATCATCATTGAAAAATAGGCAAAAGTAAGTGTTTCACATATGCGCCACTGCTACCAACAATTGGGTTTTAAGGGCGACACTACTTGAGATTTTTTGACATAAATGGGATATCAGTAAGTGGTTTTCGAAACTATCAGTAGATCTTGAACTACAACCTAACCATCCCAGCCTGCTAAAGTGAATTGGCTCATTCTATTTGGTGTGATTTTTGGTAAATTATGATATCTGACTTAAATTATGCCAGCCACAGTGAGACAGACGAAAACTCAATACGGAATTACCGAGGCGACAGGACGGTGAACCAAAGAAGTCTTCGCACAATGCAGCACTCTTCACTCGAGGCAATCATCGTTCGTTGTAGAAACTAATTAAAAGCGAGTTTTGATTATCCTCCCGAGGTAACATTGTTGTGGACTTCAATTTTTTATAAAAGTCTATGATGAAGAATCTCGCAAGTCGACCTGTGCCAGCTGTGTCAGCCAAATAGCTGCAGTATAACGTGAATCGGCAGTCACCTACCGATGAGATCAACCTAAGAATCGCTTCATCATGAACTTTCATAGGAACTTGAAGACTACACAACAAGCTCCCCCCCTCAGGTATGAAAGATAACTGGGCTAAGATGCCATACAGGCTCTGTAATCCACACTAGACCAACACGCGAATAGTTAAATGAGCATAAAGTTAAGTAAAGGGTCAATAATGATACTAACCAACCTAGCGATGCGCCGTACATATCTACCTTTAATGACAAGCTGTTCGAACACGAGGTTCGTGTTTGTCACCACTTTTGGCAAATAATTGCATAGCTCAAGTCGAAGAACGCTTAATTCAATAATCAATTTTAGTCCTTAAATTATTAGTTCTTTATATGGACTTTTTTGGCAGCATGACAAAGAAAACG